AATGAGGAACTTGATTGTAATTTGATTTAGTGGAGCACTAGCCTATACGGAACCCATTTTCATTTTATACACCTTAAACCACCGATATAAAGGGAGAAGGAAAAAATGAAGAAAATGAAAAGAAAAAATAAAGAAAGAAAAAGAAGGTAAAGCCTAGCGCCACCGCTTTTCTTCACCCTCTCGGCGACGACCTAGGTTTATAGAGAGCAAAAGTGGGAAAGAAGAAAAGGAAAAGGAAGAAAAGAAGGAAGAAAGAAGAAAAAGAAGGAAGAAGAAACAAAAACGACGAAGTGTCCGATTAAAATTTGGAGGATCCGACACATATTCCATACCCATCCCATACCCATATCCATGTCGTGTCATGTCCGACACGAGTACTCTAACTATTTCAAGAAGTCCAAGCATCAGAGGTGCGAATTGTACCACAATTACAGTGTTTGCAACAAAGGATGCTCAGTTACTTAGATCTGTCAGTGGCCCTCCATCACAGGTTCTCATAAACTTGAAAATCTTAATAAATTGGGCCTCTTTGAGGCTCTCGTCTTAATAAAATGAAATTCTATTAGAAAATTTTGTCCAATCAAATATTTGGTCTAATACTATGAAATACAGCCAGTCTAGGTGGGGCATCTGGGATGTGCACATCCCTACATATAAATGACTCTACCCACTTAAAAAAGACTGCAATATTGATCTCAATGCTTGAAATACAAACGCATGTTTGAGATCATCAAGTGAATGCTGTCAGAGTAAAAATTTATATTTTCTTCAGGTTAACATGAATCGAAGCAGCATTCATAACACACATTTCTTATATATTATACCAGACATTATATTCATCATTTTACAGATGACTCATTAATCATGTTTCTATGTCAGGAGTTCCAAAAACAAACATCTAAGTCCCATAATGAAGTGTTTGTGCTCAGAATGAATTGGAAATAGCATCACAACTTACAAATCTGGGTTGTTAGCAGTCTTTTCAGTGAAGCTTCCTCGGAAAGGAA